CCAATCTTCTCCTGATCCTGAGTTGAATAAGTCAGTGTTATGGCCGTGGTTGTCAAAGGATGTGTTTTCATACCTTTGTAAACTCAGTTCATATAACCAAGACATATCACGTCATACGGTAATTCGGTAACTTGTCTCATTTCAGCATTTCTAATATTCTACTGCCCAATGATTATCCGTGAAAAAAGTTAGGTAAAGAGTACAAATACGGGGATACTGTATCACTGGCCACCTCGTGTTTGTACTCTTTAGCCTTCAATCACCACCACTGGCTTCTTCATTTTGTATTGTATCCCGTCAGGTCTGTTACCATGTTGTTTTAGTGTATCACTGGCCTCATGTTCATGTTTGTATTACATATTCATTCCTCAGCATTGTTAACATGTATGTATATATTCCCCTGATACACTCCCTATCATTCATCTGATGAAGCATCAAGCATACGCTACATGAAACGTCGTGTTATTCACAATAAAGAAGTTGACATCCATAAATCTTGCTTTTCTTTTCTCAGAAGGAGATAGTTATCAAATGAAGGAATATATTTTAAGTATTTATGATAAAGTCTTTCTGGTTTGATAATGGAATCATAGACATAAAGCACCTCTGTAACTCTAATGGTCTATTTTCGTTTGATGATTTCAAGACCAGATATCCACTTAGAGGAACATTCTTAGTTTATAACAGGGTGATAAAATATATTCCAGTCTCCTGGAGAGATGCTGTCAGTAACAATAAATTCGTAACCCAAAAATCTAGTGATCAATGATGCAGTATATTCTCTCCCTGTATCTTCCAAAGGATGTAGAATGTTTTATGACAAATTGAGAAAAACTGATATTTTACCTGAAGTGTGTAGCAAATGGGAAAGTTTGATTACTACCTCATTACCATAGAGTAATATTTTCACTAACTATAGAAAATGTACTCGTGATATTAAGCTATTGGATTTCCAGTTAGGTTTATCCATAAGATTATATATACCAAAAGAGAATTAATGCAAATGAAATTAGTAGATTAAAATATTTGTATATTTTGCAAAACAGAACCTGAAGATATTGTCGATGTTTTTATCTCTTGTGAATATGTACTTAAATATGGCACTTAAAAGAGCAAGGGAGCTCATTGGCTAAAAATAAAATATTGCCCATCAAATCGCTGACTCTTTTCAGTGTGGGGCAGGTTAAGGCCAAGGGCGTCAATGGCGAACGGGTACGACACAATTCTATTTGCGATGAATAAATGTATGTAAAACTCATTATGACAGTAAGATGTAAATGTCTCCGAAAGAATGGCGACTAGCGCGCTGACAGGCGCCATCAGTTCAACATGTTTTGGTGAATGTCGTACGTGTATACTGTGAAATAAACAAGAAAATGGGTGAGTTGGTTGTACCCCATAACCCCTACATGCCACTACCCCTACAGCCCAGTACCACAGTGTTAAAACAACACACGGCATTTACCTGTCTGGCATAATGAACTGACCCAAAGAGAGATTAGTGCATAGAGTATACAGATGAGATCAAAGGGAGGGATTAAACTGTTCTTTAGTGTTTTGTGTCAAGGAAATTTGGGATTAGCTAAAAAGTTGTTTTAGTTTCATGATGAAAGATAAACCTCTAGTGAGTAGAACAATTTTACAAATTGGATAATGTGTAGGTTGTTAAATGTTGAAATTAAGTTGTTTTAGTGCCATGATAAAAGATACACAGCATGATTGAGAAGTGGAGGGGAAATGAGAGGGTGAGACGAGAAAGTAAATTGAGATAGTTCGGTATGGTATATAGCTGCTGACAACAAACTAACATGGCATCAACAGGGCTGGTCTGAGTAATGTTGAGTTTGTTATGTCACGGAGAGGTAGCCCCCAAGTCCTATTTGGATTTGTTATCTTCACACTAAGAATGTCGAGAGACAGTCTTGTGTACACTGGAAGTGTGTTCAGTCAACATGCAGAGGGAAGAGTCACAACTGTTGGCAATGTTGTAAGGAATACGACAGAACATAATCACCCACCAGAGGATAGTCAGAAGGTCCGGTTTGTCAGCAACCTGAGGAAGAGAGCCAGGGAGGAGTCAACACAGATGCGCACCATCTACAACAACGAGCTCACCAACCTTTAGTTGTGTGTTGTTATGTCTCTTAAGTGGATTAGTCCATTGTGTGGAATAGGTAACAGGCAGTGGATTAACAGTGCAACAGACCGTAAACTATGTTGTTATAAGCTGTAGGGGTAGTGGCATGTAGGGGTAATGGGGGTTACCGGTGAGTTACCGCTACAAATTCTGAGCAGGGATTTTGGCTCGGAATCGAGAAATCGCGATTTTTCTAGCTTCCGAAGACCCTAGCACCAAAGGTAATGCTTCGATTTTTGTGCTCTATGTCTTATTTTGTAGGTAAATCTATTGGCTTGAAATGTGTGCATACTTAAAATGGGACAGATACAGTGAACATTGTTAAATTCGCCCTGAAACAAACTTGGTGTGTTGACCTCGTTACATCCCTTTCCTTTATATAGTGATAAGACCCCGTTAGTGACAGCACATACCTTGATGGCAGTTTTAGCGTTACAAGCCCCTGTGATCTTGCATACACCTCAAACCAGATTTGATAATAATAACACTCCAATAATTCAATCAATTTAGTTTCAATTTTCTGTTTACTCTATATTTGATTAAGGTTTCATCGCATTGTATTTATGTGAAAATGGTTTGAAAATACAATATTCAAATAATTCAACGCTTGTTCGCATTCCATATAAACTTGTATAAGGATGATAGATTTAATCGATGAAAGAATCCGAAGCAGAACTGGTGGCCAATGAACAGAGGAAGTATTTCTTTATCCTCTCAGTCTTAGCCATGATAATGATCCATTACAGTTTATAGTGTCAATGTAATGTTAGTAACAATTCGATTTTTTGTGTTTTGATACTGACATGAAGACATTGAATGGTTGAAAAATACTATTATCATGTCATATTCTTTAAAACTGAAAGCAGCACTCACCATGATTCCTCTCAGGTAGTGTGTCAGTGTGTGTGTGTGTGTGTGTGTGTGTGTGTGTGTGTGTGTGTGTGTGTGTGTGTGTGTGTGTGTGTGTGTGTGTGTGTGTGTGTGTGTGTGTGTGTGGTTGTACGCCGCTTCTAGCAATATTCCATTCTGTCAGGAAGTGATGAGAGCGCTGCATTAAGAGCAAATGATCATCATGTTTTCTGGAGGCAATTCTAAACTTGATGCATCAGTGAGAAAATTTATTTCGATGTTATTCCCTATTTTGACGGGTACTACAAGTTCCCGAACGTGTCGGGTGCCATCAGTGGAGGAGAGTACGCCTACCTTTACGATGACACCGTCACTATTAGTGATTCATAAGCAATAGCTAAGGGTACAGTCGTAGTCGTATGATAGACTATATAAATAGATATTTCATGTATTTATGGAAAGGGTTCTGTCTGTTTCACTAACAGGTTTCACAGCAGTAATCACCAGTCTTGAGGTTGATGATGTTTACGGTAGCTGTTTTAACGAATACGACAATGTGACAGGCGATACTGATTGCACGTAAGTACACTACATCCTCCTTTTCCCTTCCGTTAGGAGCCCATCAAATGAAATCATGATGCACAAATGTTAACTTGCGGGTAAAATGATAGTGGATGTTGTCAGTTAAAGAATAAAAACACGATATCTGTCATTGTCATTTGTGATTGTTGCAAAATATGTATTTAAGGAACCGAATGTTCTTGGTACTGACCACAACAAGAACCTTTGCAGTACAGTAAAAATACAGCGTATAAGGATTCCGAATAACGTCTATCCCCAGGAGTCGATTTCTCTAAGAAATGTTTATTTGCGAATACTAGCGTTTTGATAACATATACCTTTGAAATTCCTCGCATCTTGTATACAGAGCCCTGCAAGACTACCTGGGTTGCCTTGAGGGCTCTTTGGAGACACACCTGTTTTACTTCCCAGCTGGACGTGCCTTGACGATCAAAAACGCAAAGTGTAGTAAGCAGCAATTATGACACGAACCTTTCTTAATTCTTGGTTAATCAACTTTTTTGCATCGCCAGTCCGTCCTCACAGTGCGTATTAGATAATGTGGTGTACGTGGTCGAAAACCGATTACATAGGGAAATTCGCATAATATCGATCACTGGGTTTGTTTGGTCATGACACCGTTTTTCACATATCTCAATCATTACTTGATCACTGCAACACTGACAAGCAAACGATTATTTTACTTTCAGCGCCCGATTTGCCAAAAAGCTACGCAGTTGCTGTGAAGACTTTATGGGGACTAAACAACCAGATATAGACCAAATATGCACGTAAGGTTATAGAATAACGTGTAGATCATTTTTTGTTATTACATGTGTATATTATTGTTCTGAAGTTCTTACTTGTTGAAAGTAGATGCATTGTATCATGTGTTGTAAAATACATGAAGATCAAATTCTTTACTTACAAACCTGAAGAATGTCAACAATGCTGTTCCTTCCAGCCAGTCCGACGTCAGCTTTCTAATACAATTCAGTTCCATTTCTTCACTATCTCTTACGGACGTTTCTATTTTAACAATTACAGAAAAAGCTCACCTGTAACGCATGCTTCTTCTGTAGCAGCTTTTACTGTATATAATTGCCATAGCGGCTCAGAAACGACATGTCCACAAGATAATGATGCAGTCTTCATACATTACAAAAAGGAAACAGGTCGATGATTTTAATTTCGAGGGACAAAAATATTTTAAGAATGCTTCGCTCATTCGTCCGATGCATTTAAAGCCTCGAAGCTGATTTTCGTATGAGAAAGTTCATCCGATGCGACCTTCTATGAAATGGTCCACAGATCTTCCAGCAGAGGGGTATTGTATTTCAGTAAAACCCTGATTTCAAGGAACTTGTAATTTATTATTTCCTTTGCTGTTCTCAAAGCCCTTTCTTGATGTTTCGCATAATTTGGAATTATTTCCGAGTATCCTCTAACTGTATGATATTATACTGTATACAACTAGAAGGGATTAAAAAACTCTATAATATAAACATTACACAACCATTCCTACAAATGTTGCTGAAATGCACAAACAAACTGTCTAGTTAACCTTAAAACAGTCAGGATAAATTTAAAAGTAATATTGGCTGCGTAAACATGAAATATCTCTTGAAACTTTTGTCGATTAAAATTACATACCACACCTTACATTTACGTGGGGCGGTGGGGTGGCCTAGTGGTTAAAGCGTTGGCTCGTCACGCCGATGACCGGGTTCGATTCCCCATATGGGTACAATATGTGAAGCCCATTTCTGGTGTCCCCCGCCGTGATATAGCTGGAATATTGCTAAAAGCGGCGTAAAACTAAACTCACTCACTCACTTACATTTACGTAAGTCAAACGTAAGGTTTGACAGTTTGTGTAAGAGTACCCTGTACCAAACTTGATTCGTAAGAACGAAATTATATGCACTTGCTATTAATCTAGTCTAATATTTTGTTGTACATTCAACAATCTTTAACAATATATATTCTCGAAATTTATTTCTGGTTAAACATCAGGCACATTTTGTAAATATAGTTGAATGAAGGAGGGTCGACCACTGCACTAGGATTACCTCCCCTGAATCACACGTTTATATGTCATTGAGCTGATGCCATGAACTGGTTTGATATGTATTTTACCATGACGAATGTAATGTTTATCACAGAAAAAGATGCTTGCTCGCCAAAACCCTGCAAGCATGGGGGGAAATGCAACGTACCTGAGGGGGGCAACGTAACCGTCGGCGGCAGTAACTACACGTGTGACTGCACGTCTGGATACAGCGGACTGACGTGTGAGGAAGGTATGGATTAATGGAGCAGAGTGATGTTGAAATGTTTTGACTTCAAGCATTTTAGACCCGTGAAGATCCGGTTAGAACTGGGTTCAGCAACTCATGCTTGTCGTAAGAAGCGACTAACGGGATCGGGTGGTCAGGCTCGCTGCCTTGGTTGGCACATGTCATCGGTTCCCAATTGCGTAGATCGGTGCTCATACTGTTGATCACTGGATTGTCTGGACCAGACACGATAATGTACAGATCACCGCCACATAGCTGGAACATTGCTGAGTGCGGCGTAAAACTAAACGCATTCATTCACTCACTCTGTTTCAACCACACTTGCATGACACGGGGGCGTTGACAGATGCGTTGACAGATGGTAAAACGTCGCGGTGCTAAACAACCAATCGTGATCAGTCACTAAGTTTCCATGACTATATGCTGTGGTAATATCGCACGGAACAAAGGAAATGTCATGGTAGACGTAGATAGTGATAGTCCTGATAGTGATTGTCCTGGAAGTGGCCATCATGGACATTCCGCACTGATAGTTGTTCATGACGCTACGTTTGTTAACATCTGTACCAGGTCCTTGCGCAGGCCACAGCTGCAGTAACCACGGGAAATGCAAAGCTGACAAGGACGACCAAACAAAGCCTCTGTGTAAATGTGACGATGGCTTTTCGGGAGACAAATGTCAAAATGGTAAGCAGGAGATATACCTTTGTAACATAATCCTATGACATCAATGTGTTTATTTACTCTTTCTGAATATAGCAATTGACCAAGGTTTTGCGTCTGTTTATGTTTATGAGAGATTTCTTTACTAGCTGTAAGAAAGTATGTATCTATGCAAAAACAGCTGGACACAACATACGATTCGAACCTACCTTACGCATGGTTTTGTCAAATTGTAATTGCAAATATTAGTCGCAACCCCTATCGGCTGATCAATAGTTCGAAACAAAGGGTGATTAAACAAATATCGAGATCGTTAGTTAAACCATGGATTATCGCGGTCATCGATTGAGCAATGAGTATAAGTTGTGTATGCATTTACATATTTTTACAGCAGGCACAGCCAATGCGATCTATCTGTCGTCCTTCCTGGCTACTCTCCTTGCTGCCCATATCATCAGGATGACCTTGACCTAAAGAGCAACGCTGACGTAAACGTGAAACGAGCCTTCGTTACGTGTTCAAATCTGACTTTACAAAACATGCATATGCTTTCACTATTTTCATTGTGTGCTAAACGTTCTTGTTTATGATTGTTCATGGAGTTCTTTTTTTGGTATTTGTGACGAATCTATAAATACAAACTAGTATTTTAAACACACTTGGAACAATCCAGTACAGCGTTGTTAATTATCTGAAATTATACAATACAACCGTAGCGGATTGTCTTAAAGGGTATCCGAAAGTATTTCTGTGATGGCTGAAGCTGATGACGTGGCCATTGTGTAGGTCACTGAATAAAAGTGGATGTTATCTACCCTTTTGAACAAAAACTATATGTCGAATACATTATATTATATTATATGTCTTGAACTGGTTTTGGAAATAAACGCCCTTTGTTCTGCAAAAGTGTTCATGTGTTTGGTGAGGAAATGCTGTATTCTCTAAAGGTAGATTATTTTTTCGCCCAGTGATTTACAGAACTTATATATTTGACTCGGAAATAAGCCTGCAGAAATACATCAACAACATCTGTAAAAGTGTTTACAATCATATGAGAAATATCAACCTGATCTGGAGGTATTTTACAAAACTTCAGCAGCTCTTTACCAAACGTATGTACGTAGAAGTAGATTTGTGATTGTTCCATTGTCATAAGGATAATGCTTTGAACAAGGTCCAGAAGAAACAAACATAGTTCGTACTAGAAAGCATGAACACATAATTCTAAACATCTGCAACTCTGGAATTCTGCACTTGTATCCGTAATGTTTAAGGCATTTAACAACGCAGGGATACGATGACATGCGAGACTGACCTCCCGATCCCTTAAGTCGGCTTTTACGACAAACGTGGCTTCCTGAAGCCAAACTTTAAGCCGGATCTTCACATTTACCTACTTGCTTTAAGAACTATGCACTTTCAAAAATTGATGGATGAATGGATGGATGGATGGAAGGATTATGGATGGATGGGTTTATGGATGGATGGATGATATAAACCTTGCTTCCTTTTCAAATGTTTGTGTGATATACAACTTCATGTTCATCGGAGATCAGTATTCTGAATGGTTACACTTTTCTTATAGACACCTCTAAGTCGTTTGACACGGACATCGTCCTTGCGAAGACATCAATAGCCAACATGTCGATCCATGAAAAAAAAGGCGGCAGATAAAACATAACATCTGCAAATGTTCGATATCGGAACATTATTAAACCATTTTAAGGTGTATCGTTTGCATGCAACCATGTTTACAGTTTGCACGTACAAGAAAATGTCTATACATAATTTAGGGACACCTTCGGCAAATCTCTCATTTTAAAGAAGCGGTGATAAAATGCAAATACAGCATTAGAAAAGGTTTGGTTTAGTTTGGGTTTTGTTGAACGCCGCTATACGCCGGCGGTCTGTATATATAATCGAGTCTCTACCAGACAATTCAGTGATCAACATCATGAGTATCGATCTACGCAGTTGGGATAAGATGACATGTGTCAACCATGTCAACGAGCCTGACCACCCGATCCTGGTAGTCGCCTCTTACGACAAACATGGGTTACTGAAGATCAATTCTAACCCGGATCTTCACGGGTCATTAGAAAAGTATCAAAGAAAACACATGCCAATTTGTTTTCAAAAGGCTCAGTATTCATCGTTACCTCCGTCGACTACCAGACGGGGGGACCGCCGCCATATAGCTGGAATATTGTTGAGTGCAACGTTAAACAACAAATAAACAAACAAAGCAAATAAACAAACAAAATGCAAACACTGCAAGGTCAGTCAGAGTGAGTTGACAAATAACTCCACCTTGATCTTCATGATTGACACCTGACCAAACCGTACATGGGGCAGGCACTTCTTCCTGTCACGTTACCTCATTTATATTGCATCCGGAAACAGCTCTCCTTCCAAACGTCACAAGAACACACAAATCACCCGACACTAAGTGGTACAACAGCTCATCAAACATGACGTGTTTCAGAACAGGTACATTGAGTGAGTGAGTGAGTTTAGTTGTACGCCACTTTTAGCAATTTTCTAGCAATATCACGGCGGGGGACACCAGAAATGGGCTTCACACATTGTACCCATATGGGGAATGAAACCCATGACGAGCAAACGCCTGTAACCCCTAGGCTATCCCACCGCCCCTGCAGTTCAGGAAATCATGCACAAATCACTCTGTCAAAGTCACAACAGTCACGCGTCTTTCAATGCTGGCGCCCGATGGCATGAATCATGGAAGTGACATCAGGGAAATGAAAAATCTCTCACGCATCATTCTGGGATGTTATAGCAGCTGCAGAAGGACGCCAATGATTGTGATTGAAGTACCGAGACAAGATTCTCCTAATTACAGGGTTTGCAACAGAACGTTCCTGGAGTGGCGTTACAACACGATAACACAAGACCACAGGTTGCTCAAACTGTACAGCAGCACCTCAATCAGAACAATGTCAATGTGTTACTTTGGCCCGCAAGATCCGTGGATGTGTCACTCATTGGACACCTCTGGGTTGAAATGGACTGATGTTTGCGGCGTCTTCGTCGAACAGGAAACCAATCCTCAATCGGATATCTAATGATCTTCCCCAGGATTTTCATCGAGGTTTAGTGGCCTCATTGAGGCGAAGGTAAAAGGCCTGAGTCAGTTTACAAGTCTACTCTCTGGCATGACACTGTGAACATGCTTGTCAACCCCCTCTTGTGTTGTGCCGCTGCCAGTTGTGCTATTCTTACAGACTGTTGATCGCTACCTTACCTTGAAACAGTACTTGTTTAACACCGATTCTCTTGTTTGTGTGTCTCAGTACCTCTTGCCTTTGACTATATTTGAAGGAATTTACTTCATGACAATTAGTGTAAGGCATTAGATCATAGGTGTACCGGAAGTTTAGCGTCTTGACCAAATTCTCTTTGGATTGCAATAAACGCATCAACAAACCGACCGCATCAACTAAACATTTTGAGCATGTGCTATCTACGAAGTCTGGAATTCACGCATTATTCTGACAATAAACACTGGACGTGTACTTACACTTTTGAAACAAAGGCTTGACTGAAGGCAATGGTGTAACTATACATATAAATTCTTCAGCCAGTGGTTGCTTGGTCCAGACGATAGTGGTGCAACTGTACCTGTATTCTTTCAGTCAATGGTTGCCTTGTGGAGACAGTGGGGTAACTATACATTGTATTCTTTCAGTCAATGGTTGCCTTGTGGAGACAGTGGGGTAACTATACATTGTATTCTTTCAGTCAATGGTTGCCTTGTGGAGACAGTGGGGTAACTATACATTGTATTCTTTCAGTCAATGGTTGCCTTGTGAAGACAGTGGGGTAACTATACATTGTATTCTTTCAGTCAATGGTTGCCTTGTGGAGACAGTGGTGCAACTATACATTGTATTCTTTCAGTCAATGGTTGCCTTGTGGAGACAGTGGTGCAACTATACATTGTATTCTTTCAGTCAATGGTTGCCTTGTGGAGACAGTGGTGCAACTGTCCCTGTATTCTTTCAGTCAATGGTTGCCTGGTGGAGACAGTGGTGCAACTGTACATTGTATTCTTTCAGTCAATGGTTGCCTTGTGGAGACAGTGGGGTAACTATACATTGTATTCTTTCAGTCAATGGTTGCCTTGTGGAGACAGTGGGGTAACTATACATTGTATTCTTTCAGTCAATGGTTGCCTTGTGGAGACAGTGGGGTAACATTGTATTCTTTCAGTCAATTGTAACTATTCTTTCAGTCAATGGTTGCCTTGTGGAGACAGTGGGGTAACTATACATTGTATTCTTTCAGTCAATGGTTGCCTTGTGGAGACAGTGGGGTAACTATACATTGTATTCTTTCAGTCAATGGTTGCCTTGTGAAGACAGTGGGGTAACTATACATTGTATTCTTTCAGTCAATGGTTGCCTTGTGGAGACAGTGGGGTAACTATACATTGTATTCTTTCAGTCAATGGTTGCCTTGTGAAGACAGTGGGTAACTATACATTGTATTCTTTCAGTCAATGGTTGCCTTGTGGAGACAGTGGGGTAACTATACATTGTATTCTTTCAGTCAATGGTATTGCCTTGTGGAGACAGTGGGGTACAGTGGGGTAACTATACATTGTATTCTTTCAGTCAATGGTTGCCTTGTGGAGACAGTGGGGTAACTATACATTGTATTCTTTCAGTCAATGGTTGCCTTGTGGAGACAGTGGGGTAACTATACATTGTATTCTTTCAGTCAATGGTTGCCTTGTGAAGACAGTGGGGTAACTATACATTGTATTCTTTCAGTCAATGGTTGCCTTGTGAAGACAGTGGGGTAACTATACATTGTATTCTTTCAGTCAATGGTTGCCTTGTGAAGACAGTGGGGTAACTATACATTGTATTCTTTCAGTCAATGGTTGCCTTGTGGAGACAGTGGGGGGGTAACAGTGGGGTAATACATTGTATTCTTTCAGTCAATGGTTGCCTTGTGAAGACAGTGGGTAACTATACATTGTATTCTTTCAGTCAATGGTTGCCTTGTGGAGACAGTGGGGTAACTATACATTGTATTCTTTCAGTCAATGGTTGCCTTGTGGAGACAGTGGGGTAACTATACATTGTATTCTTTCAGTCAATGGTTGCCTTGTGGAGACAGTGGGTGCAACTATACATTGTATTCTTTCAGTCAATGGTTGCCTTGTGAAGACAGTGGGGTAACTATACATTGTATTCTTTCAGTCAATGGTTGCCTTGTGGAGACAGTGGGGTAACTATACATTGTATTCTTTCAGTCAATGGTTGCCTTGTGGAGACAGTGGGGTAACTATACATTGTATTCTTTCAGTCAATGGTTGCCTTGTGGAGACAGTGGGGTAACTATACATTGTATTCTTTCAGTCAATGGGTTGGGGTAACTATACATTGTATTCTTTCAGTCAATGGTTGCCTTGTGGAGACAGTGGGGTAACTATACATTGTATTCTTTCAGTCAATGGTTGCCTTGTGAAGACAGTGGGGTAACTATACATTGTATTCTTTCTTTCAGTCAATGGTTTCTTTCCTTGTGGAGACAGTGGGGTAACTATACATTGTATTCTTTCAGTCAATGGTTGCCTTGTGGAGACAGTGGGGTAACTATACATTGTATTCTTTCAGTCAATGGTTGCCTTGTGGAGACAGTGGGGTAACTATACATTGTATTCTTTCAGTCAATGGTTGCCTTGTGAAGACAGTGGGGTAACTATACATTGTATTCTTTCAGTCAATGGTTGCCTGAAGACAGTGGAGACAGTCAGTCAATGGTTGTTGTGGAGACAGTGGCAACAGTCAATGGTTGCCTGGTACTATACATTGTATTCTTTCAGTCAATGGTTGCCTTGTGGAGACAGTGGGGTAACTATACATTGTATTCTT